TTATTTATGTAAACACCAAACCCCGCAGAATTCGAGGTTATGAGAACAGGTTGACATGTCGAAATTACGTTGCGCAGTCAACGAATCTTGTTGAATTTACCGTTTATCCTTGTCTTTCTTATTGTCACTCTGTATAATTCCATGGTTACCGTAGTTTTTAATGATTATGAAGCAACAGGTATTTTTGCAATGTTAATTAGGCATATTACCTTGAAAAACATCGCTGCCGTATTTCTGATATAGTTTTTTGGACATTTCTCAGTTTTTAATCACAATTAATTTCTTTTACTATTTTTTCTGTACTATTTTTTCCTATAACAGCGCCAGACCAGACCTCCAGAGGAATGACGCCAATTTTGAATCAACCTGTATGGACGGACGAATCTAAATTTACTAAAAATGGTGTGTTTAATAGACGAAACTTGCATTACTGGAATAACGACAATAGCATCCTATTCGCGAATGGCATTTTCAATAAATTTGGAACTTTAATGTGTTTTGTGCTATTCGTAATAACGAAATTTTTCACGTCTATTTTTACAACGAAAATTTTAGTAGTTAATAGTTGACTTATGCATTTTATAATTACGGTATGTATGTATTTAATTTCTAGGGGAAATTTATCTTAAAATTTTAAATACTGGAATTGAACCCAGAATAAATAATGTAGAGCGGGACGTTTTATGGCACCAACAAGATGGTGCGCCCCTCACAGCACCAATGCCGTTTCCATAAAACTTTCCGAAATTTTTGAAGATCGTTGGTTTGCTAATAACGGTCCCTTTCAATGGCCACCTAGGTCACCTGACCTTACGCCCATGGATTTTTATCTTTGTGGTCGAATTAAAGATGTTGTTTATGCTACACCATTAACAATCATGGAAGATTGCATTGCAAGGGTGCGAAATGCCTGTCTTTCTCTCGAAGAGATTCGAAGAGCTACAAATGGAGCTGTTACAAGGCGTGTTTAACAATGCCTTGCATCTAACGGACAATATTTTGTACATTTATTGTAATTAAAAATTGAACAAATAATAAATAAGTAATAAAAAATTGGTAGTTTATTGAAAATAACTATGAAACTGTTCAACCTTTTTATAAAATTGCCTTAATTTTTGACACTAAATCGATCTGAATAGAAAAACTAGAGGTTTTTATTTGAATTTTTTGGGTAATATGCCTTTTTTGACAGTCAAAGTTTAATTTTCCCTAACTTCCTTTTTATAAGAGATGCAAAACTCATTTCCATCTGACGCAAGTAGCGGCTGCAGCGTCCATCGCAAAGACTGATCATATGGCATATCATGTTTATAGGTTTACTATCGCGTCGACTTCTAGCGTCTCGTACGCAGGCACTGCTATCGAGACCAGTCAACAACTCCTATAATACAATTGTAGGAGTTGTTGGACCCATGATACAAGGAATATATTAGGAATATACAAGGAATATATAATATATTCCTTGTATCATGGTTGGACCAGTCCACTGGCGAGACGCAAGCGATTTCACTGCAATATTTCTATTTATTTGCCGTCGACATGAATGAAATTGATTTCTACTTAAGCGAAAATAAGCGTGGAATTTAGTATCATCTATATATCGATGTTTGTACATAGATTGATTAGGTTTTCTGTTCGTAATTAATAATGCAATCATGGTTTCATCATCTTCTTCTAATAAAAGAGCCAATGCAAGCTCCATGATGCTAATTAATCAACTACTCAAATTTTCCTTTGCACTGTGCTCGGGCTGCCGACTTTTCTCAACTTTTAGACGCACAAGCAAACCCAGGCCTTAAGACATAAATTCTATCACAGTTGAAATGTAAAATAACAAACGTTTTAAGCAGAATGTGCACCTGCATTTAAGCAAGCTTGCCATTTTTAAATATAAATTCAGTCAGAGATGAAATAAAAGTTATTTGAAGAGTGAACGTTGTAAGGTCGACATATTTTTTTTAAATTATTTTTTGGTGGTACCAAAATTAATTGGAGTAATACTTCGTCCAGGTTTGCCAAACACGCATTTCTGTTTGTTGTTGTTGTAGATTATTTAATATTATTGTAAAACGAAATGCGAGAGATTATTTTCTAAAACGGGTGCTATAATAAACGCGCGAAGAACTGGAATCAGTAAAAAGCATCTGCAAAAAAATAATGCTTAAATGTTAATTCATTTTTAAATAAAAATTATATTTTTAAACATTTTCGCATATAATATTTTATTTAATAACTCTAGTTTTATTATTATCAGTTTTTTGTTCTTTAAGTAGTTACCTCGGATTTATGTTTTGTTTTTGATTTTAGAATATTTTATTTCAAGTTTACCAATGTTAATAATTATGTTTTTAATAAACGAAATCATTATATATCATCACTATTTCAAATATCATCATAATTTTGCATTTTTAATGAAAAATATAAAAAGTAACATGTTCCTTTTGAAATCGCATTTTGAAACCTATTACCAAGGTGAAACTGAAACGTTGTAACCCGTTACAGAAAAATAACCGTTTATTACACCTCTAATACATATGCCATTTGAGTTTTATTCATCAACTTTTCGAGCCTGTGAATTGTAAATTTAAAATATTTTGAAACAAGTTAGCTTAAAATGTTTTATAATTATTTTCATGAAAACGTTATAGAATCATGAAACTACAGTGATTCTTTGAGTACAGATATTTTGACTGGTGGTATATTTTTGTTCTCGAAGCAGGGTAATCCTATAGTTTTGCTTCTAGGGCCATTATGTACCACCAATTAAAATATTTGCACTGTTCAAAGATCTACCATGTATAATGTACAAAATATTTATCGGCAACGTTTAAATAATTTTTGAAATGGCGTTCGGGAAATTGAAAGAAAAAAAAGGAAGAAAAGAACAGAAGAACGGGAAAGACGTCCCTGCTCGGGCGCCATTTTTGTAATGGCGTCCGGGAAATCGAAGAAAAAGAAAACGTGAAAACTTGAAAGAAGAACAGAATAAACGTCCTTGCCCGAGCGCCATTTTTGTAATGTCGTCTGGGGAATCGGAGAAAAAGAAAAACGCTGTTCCGTGAACTTACCTTTCAAATTTAGGGCTTAATGCTGGTAGCCTAGCATGTTCGGACTTGAACGGGCTTTCGGAAATCTCGGGCGCCAGCCATCAGGATTCGTGGTGGTGGCCCCACAGCGAGGGTCGCTTTTGTAGCAGCAGAATTAAATACAGTTAAACAATTGTTAAATTAATTTTTGCTCATTATGTCATGTGACAACGTAGGATAGAAATCGAGCGTATTGGCAACATAGCAACTGACACAGTTGACAGGCACGATTCTTGCTACAGCAAGCGTGGGTTCGCCATTACAAAAAAGGTTCGCGATTAAACACTTCAAACAAGCAAGTCGATCTACTTCATTATCAATTCCTATTTTGAATCAGCAATTTAAACAACAATAAAAGATTTATTCATTAGCAGACTCGAAAATACATGGACAAAATGAGCAAATAAACAACGGCCTTAAACGGGAATATTACGGTTTGACAACAAAATAATCCAGCCTTAAGAACAGGTAAATGGTTGTTGCCTACAATTTGTCGACAAGATAACTCAGGAACGCTTGGGGGAAGTCAAAGCCTTATGAAGTTATTTCAGTACGTTTTGAACAATTTTTAGACTGGAAGTCTATGGATAGCAATAAAAAAATTAAGGGAGTTGACGGTTGTGAAATTAAAGTAACAGATATTCGACGAGCATCTGTTTCCAAAACAGATTTAAATTATCTTTATTTAACTACTAGCTATTTGTCTAATGCGGCATTTCGTAAAATTGATTGGCCTATAAGGAAATTTCAATTTCCTGTTCGAGCGTATTTTTCAGAATTGTCAATTAACAAAAACAAATTAAAAGACTTACGAAACTTACGTGATAAGCTCGTGATTCAAAAAGCTTACCATGTTAAATACCTAACGCTTTCCTCTCATGGAACAAATGTACCTGATGACGTATTACCTGAAACCGATGTGGAAGATGGAAAATAATTATTATTTGTGTTATTATTCGGTGTAATAATTATTATTTCGATTTTTGTTCTGATGTAAGAGCCAAATCTTGCGTTAATTATTTTAGGAAAAGTATATTATAATATTTTTTAAATTTTTCGATTAGTTGCTGTTCTCAAGTTTTTTTTAATTTTTTAAGAAAAATTGGGTACATTTGGTACTTAATCATAAATGACGTATTTAAATAAAAATTAACGTTATATTCATTTTATCTTATTTTTCTATAATTTAAAGCTGTTGATCTTTTAAATAAAAATGTTGTATTAAAAACAACGTAATAAAAATTCAAAACATATATAAATGGCGTAAGTTCCGATTTCTTGCCTTGACTTTAAAAGGAAAGGCGTATGTAGGTTGTATCAACCACTATATTGCATTCAATTTTAAAAGGACAGGGCGTAAGCGCCTTCAAAGAAGACTTAAGCGCCAAAATCTTAATTTAATCGCGAATTAAGACACTTCAGAGCTAGTTATTGCTTAAATCTGCTTCTATTGACATTAATAAATAACGTCAAATAATAATGATTGCCGTTTGCAAACATAATGAGACACAAGACGTTTTTTCTCTCTCCTGTAAAATTTGCCCAATGGAGCTTACGTCTTTTTGTCGCGACGACGTCGACATGTAGAGCTTCTTTTGTAAAATAAACGTGTTAGTCAAATTTAGTTGTTTTAAAAACGGCCTTGCAATATCGAAATAGTTAAATCACGCTCTTTCTCTTCCACTTTTGCACTGGAACTTACTTGCTTAAACGGAAGCGTTCTGATTAGCTGGTATACTTGCCATATTATTGATGTGCGTTTGAGTTCCTGCATGCTTCTGCTAATCCCCAGTATGTGCTCGGTAGTCTTTATGACACACTTTGCAGTATGCTTTTGCGTTATAGTTCGACTTGCTTCTGGTTAGCCAGCCTAAACACAAAAAACATTTCATAGATTTAGTATTTTACTAGTTTAAAACCGTCAACTTTTCGCGATAGCTTCACTTTATGAGTAGGTATTCGAATTGTGATTGTTCTAAACATCTTGATTTCAAGTATATAGATTCCTGTAAAAAATAGCAATATTTTCACTTATAACAGCTTATAACTCTTGCACTTACCTTGAGCCCAATCTGCTCTTTCCCAATTAGCATTGTAGCTTATTTTCACGTCAGTGTATTTAAGTTTTGACATCGACATTTTGCACCAATACAATAGTAGTTTTCGATACAAGGGCGAAAAATATCGTTTTTCGAACGACGATGGCGTTTGACACCCGAGACGAAGTCGAGGGTGTCAATCCGTCAGGAGTTCGAAAAACAAATTTTCGCCCTCGTATCGAACACTATTTTTTATTCGAATGAAAGATTACACGAATAATAAAATGCATCGATTTCATATTTAAAATTTTGTGGCAATGTCATTTTTTGAAATGTCATGTTTTGAAGTTTGTAATTAAGTTTAAGTACTTTTTCAACTTGAAACACCTGTGGTCTTGGGATAGTGTATGCATGTTGCATACTCTGCATGACATTTGCGCTTCTTAAAAAGATCGTGTTTTACGTGTGACAACATCGCAAAAGTAGATAAGTAGGCCATTAAAACGATTATGAGACTGAACTTGTAACAAAGGTATAATTTACAAATTGTAAGTAAACTTGAAAATAGGATCATTAGTTGTTGATAAACCTACGTAATTTCTTAAAAACGCATTTCAGTTATTTTTAAATAAAAATACTAAAAAATATATAATGACAGTGGCAAGTTGAAAGTGTCACATTTACTTTGTCGCACACTGTGCGGCAAAGTCCGTGCGTAGAAAAAAATGTTATTTACTAATATTTCCGAAACCGCTTTTAATATTATAATTAAATTTGACATGCTTAGTCAACTAAGAACAATACACGTTTTGTGATGAAAAGGTTGTTTCTATCTTTTCCAGTGGCGTGGGTACATGCACGTCTGTAGATAATTTTAAATAGAAAAATGTTACGCCACTGATTTTTCTAAAAATAAATAATATGTGTGAAGTTCCTGTTCCATTTGGAAGAGAAAAGGTCTCCTGACGTTTTTTTCTACGACCTCCCGTTTGCGAGTAAACAAATTAAAATCGATATTTTGCATATCTAAATCGGGTTGTAATTAAGTATGGTTTAGTATAAAGACAGCAAAAATTGCGCAGTTAGATTGTATCAATTTTATTACAAAAATTATTACTAGCCGCAGTTGACATCAGTCTTAGAGTTTCTTTATTTGTTTTTTACCTATTAGATTGATTTACCTGTTAATTAAAATTTTACTTATTCTTAGTATTGAAATGCGCACCAACGTTGCTTTGATACGGGAAAAAAAAATATGTTATTCATTAATTCTTAACAACCTAAGATCTTGCTCAAAATGAAGCCCACTTCTCTAACGCATGCATGTGCCTGCCTTCTTATTTCTGTCTGTGTTACCCTGGCCGAAAATGTATGTCTAAGTGTAATAGCGGCAGCTGTAATGCGTCATATTAATTCGTATGTATTTATCCGGCATTAACCAACTCTTTCATCCTACCCCATACGTGAAAGTCTAACGGAGTTAGATCTGGGCTTCTAGCAGGCCATAATATGGGGCGTCCTCTCCCCATCCATCGATTAGGAAAACGCTGATCAAGGTACTCCCTTACAGTTTGCTGCTACGTGAATTTGCCTACCTTGCACTTTTCCTGACTCACTGACCCTGCGATAGGTCTTTGCAAAGACACGGATATTTCGAAGCCTCCACTATTTCTGTATGCGTATTCAGCATTGGAAAACTCAGCCATTTCAACAAATAAAGTTTTCAACGAATGTGAATTTCGTCGAAATTACGTAGAACGAAAAAAGAAAGTGGCAACTAAAGTTACTCAGACACTCAAAATGACAGCAATTATTAATTTTGTCAATAAGTCAATAACTATTGCAGAGCCTACTGTGTAATAAAAACATGATTACGCTGTGTAATAAATCGATTTTAATTTGTTTACACAAACGGGACGTCGTAGAAAAAAAGTCAAGAGACCTTTTCTCTTCCCAATTGAACAGGAACTTGAAAAATATTACTTACTTTTAGAAAAATCAGTGGCGTACCATTGGCCTGTAGCCACGCCACTGGAAAAGATAGACGCAATATTTTTTACTCAAAACGTGTACTGTTCTTAGTTGCCTAGGCCTGTCAAATTTAATTATAATAGTCCATGCGGTTTTCGAAATATTAATAAATAACTTTTTTGTTTATTAAAACTTTAACACCCTGTAGATCGGAAACTAATGGTTTTCGGAACCTGGTCTATTAACGAAATATATCCAAAATTAATTGCACTATCACCCCCTGCAAAGAATGCATCTACTTACCAAACACCCTGTATATTAATGAGCCAAATATATTTTTTTAAGTCCAGTAATTTTTACTTATACTAATGCAAGGAACATCAAATTCTCGAAGTAGGTCTAACATTAGTTATGATATCCTATTTAGCCAACTTAACAAATTCACGATATTCTATTTCGCAGCCAAGCATAAGGAAATATCTAATTATGCTTACGAGGTACATAATGTTCTTTAGTTTCACAGATAGCATGTAAACTCATCAGCATTAATGCAGTATATATTCTCACAAGCCTGTAATAACCAACAGTTGTATCTTGAAGCTGAAATCCATATCAATCGAAATAAAAATTGTTTTAAAAACTCCCTTT